AGTCCTCTGTAGGATTCACATAGGGAAAAGTCTTCGTCTCCTCCTCCAGCGATACTCTTGTACTTGCAGCTGTCATTGGCAATTGAACCTGGAATATCTGAAACAGCGGATCTGGGATAAACTCGCATTGATCAGCATTTACACCAAGAAACGAGGCCAGGCGCCCGATCTGGGAGACGGTATCATTCTCCGAAGAAACGCTTCCATTGAGCACGTTTGCCATTCAGTGCACCGGAATTTCGTCAATGAGTTCAAATACGCTCTCGTCTGGGTAAGTGCTTCCGGCCGTCAGGAGTTCCTTGAGCTTCTCTGTTCGATGTGTCCAGGAAGAATCGCAATGAAAATTCGTAATCTGCGCCGAGCGCTCCGCGTACCATACTGACTCTGTGGACTTTGATTTGCAGGGAACCAGCACGAAGTACAGCCCGCAGCGCGTAGGATTGAGTCATGTGGTTCACAACGAGGATGTTGTACAGCTTGTAAAGAAATAAAGAATTTCTGTCCACCGTTTCCAAGGTTTTCTGAATTCGGCGAATGCCTTCACACAAATATAAAAAAAGCCTCAACGGATTGCTGTACTCTCGACTAGACTCCTCCGGATGGGGAGCAGTATGGGCTACGGGGAGAACTTCGGCGAACAATTATCCCGATTGACTTCCTAGCGAGGATCGTAGGTACCTCCAAGCGAATACACTACTCACAGGCAGAGCTGCAATTGAATTCCGCTCTGTCGGAGCTGTAGCACGAGCATCCGTCTGCTCTGCGAGGACTTTCTGGCGAACAATAATTCGCTTATCAGGATCTCCGACTTAGAGAGCAACTCTCGGAAATGAAAATTCGGACCTCGATTGATTTCCATTTGATGCTGTCACCAACGACCCCGTTTGGTGCAATTCCACGGAACCCCTCGCGAGAGCCTTGCTATCAGACTCAGAACTCTCTCAGAGATACAGGCCGGAGTCTCTAATCATGCGGGTCGCCTTGATGTTCCGTCTTATCTTCAGATTGAGGGAGAGGGAGAAGCTGGTTGAACTTCGAACGCGGATCACTGGAAGCGTCATAAGGAAGAATGAGTACCAGAGAGCAAGTCGAGAGCTAATCCGACACGGATTACGGTAGTGAGTGAACGAGCGAATCACCAGTCTTGCCGAGATCGTATCCCCGATATCATTTTGTTCTTCGACGTCAAGCACCAACAATGAGGACCGCATCGCTGCTCTCAGGTTGGTGAACACCAGGATCTGATTCCCACCTCCGTTTCCCTCAATGGAATGTCGATGAGGCTGCCGATCGGCTCAGCGGCGATCGACTGCGACTCCTCCGATGAAACTGTTGAGGCGGAAAATTTCCCGTCGGGAATGGAAGAAGTTCCGATGCTTGTTGGCGTGAGGATTATTTCATTGACATTTCGTGGACCGCTTCGCGAACGTCGATGTGGAGCAAAACAAAGACATTGCGGAAAAGGAAGCCATGGATGCAGTACGAAGTGACGGAGTTCGCCTTGTGAGAGATCTAATACGTGAGGATCCAGTTCGAGTCGGAGCATTGAACATGCAGCAGTCTAGGGCTATGTTTGGAGATTTATTGATGGTCGATCATTATTGACAATATTCAATGGAGTACGATTAAGTTGGACGATAGTTGGATTAGGAACAGAGTCAGCCAACACGCAGCGGACGCAGAGCTATCCGCTGGTGCTCCTTCCGGTGGCTACAGCGAGAGCGACGCAAGAAGCGCGCGCAACGCCACAGACCGCTCAGCTCGTCGTGTGACTCCTTCGAATAGAGATCCAACTCAGACCGGACACCTGGGTGATGCCGGCAGATCCTGCAGATGGCCAACGGCAAGCCGTACGTGTCCAGTAATAAGTGCTGATCGTCCTTTCCTAGTTACTTCTTCTTGGCGGCCTTCTCAGCGGCCTTGGTGACTTTACCGTGGGTGATTTCCTTCGGCTTGACTGCTTTGATAACGCCGACGGCGACAGTTTGCCTCATGTCACGCACGGCGAAGCGACCGAGCGGTGGATACTCTGCGAAAGTCTCGACGCACATCGGCTTTTGGGGGATGAGGTCGACGATGGCCGCGTCGCCCGACTTGACGAACTTGGGGTTGTCCTCGAGTTTCTTTCCGGATCGACGGTCGATTTTCTCACGGATTTCCTTGAAACGGCACGCGATGTGCGCGGTGTGGCAGTCGAGCACGGGCGAATAGCCGTTCTGGATCTGTCCGGGATGGTTGAGGACGATGACCTGCGGAAAATAGAGAATGAGAACGGGCTCGTATGCCGGGGTCGCATGCGTCAGAAAACGTAGGGATGAGTATTCCGGAGAATTCCCGGATGAGAAATAATTCAGAGCGAGTCTCCGAGGGAGAGGGGAAACGATCTCACCTGGGCGGCGAACTCCTCGGTCTCGCGAGGAGGATGGTCCTTCGAATCTCCGCAGACGTATCCTCGCTTCAGTTCCTTAACTGAGACGTTCTTGACGTTGAAACCAACGTTGTCTCCGGGAACGGCTTCGGCGAGTGATTCGTGATGCATTTCCACGGACTTGACCTCGGTAGTGATGTGAGCTGGAGCGAAGGTCACCACCATACCCGGTTTGAGGAGTCCAGTTTCGACTCGGCCCACAGGGACCGTTCCGATACCTCCGATCTTGTAGACGTCTTGGAGCGGGAGACGCAGAGGCTTGTCGGTCGGCCTGGTCGGGGGCTCCATGACATCGAGGGCTTGGAGTAGGGTCTTGCCCTCGAATTTCTGTCCTTGACGCTCGATGGCCCATCCCTTGTACCAGGTCATGTTCGGCGAAGGTTCGAGCATGTTGTCCCCACACCATCCCGAAATGGGAACGAATGGCACAGTGGCTGGATTGTATCCGATCTTCTTGATGTACGAAGAGACCTCCTTCTTGATTTCTTCGAAACGGGGCTCCGAGTATGGGGGCTCGGAGGTGTCCATCTTGTTGACACCGACGATCATCTGCTTCACGCCGAGAGTGTACGCGAGCAGAGCGTGTTCACGGGTTTGACCGTTCTTGGAAATGCCGGCTTCGAACTCTCCGGTCCCGGCGGGGCAGATGAGAATAGCGCAGTCGGCTTGGGAAGTTCCCGTTATCATATTCTTGATGAAATCTCGGTGACCGGGAGCGTCGATGACGGTCACGTAATACTTGGGGGTCTCGAATTTCCACAGTGTGATATCGATCGTGATACCACGTTCACGTTCAGCCTTGAGCTTGTCCAATACCCAAGCGTATTTGAAGGATCCCTTGCCCATCTCCTGAGCCTCCTTCTCGAACTTCTCGATGGTACGTTTATCGATGCCTCCGCACTTGTAGATGAGGTGACCGGTGGTCGTCGACTTCCCGGAGTCGACATGACCGATCACCACGATGTTGATATGAACTTTCTCCTGCAAACGTCTCATGATTTAGAGGCTTCCGTTCCCAGATTAGTGCTTTTTATCGCTTTTTAGATTCATTGGATCTCGATGTAATCCAATGATTTTATTTCCTCGAATAGCTCAGAATCCCGAATCCCCAAATAGACGCATAGCGTCTGTCGAGGAATAAGCACCGCGGTTTCGCCGGCAGCTCAGGAGGAATGGCTCGGCAATCGAGGAATCAGCCTCGGCGCGCGGCCTGCCCACGGGGCGGCAATCCAGAGGACCGCGAGTGTATGCGGAGCTGTGGAATATCTCCCAGCAAGGGAATAGCGAGTATTGAGCGAGAAATTCAGCGCGACACACCCCCACGTGGCGAAGATATTCTTCCGGATTATTATTCCCAGGAAGACCGACGCTGACCAATGGTTGAATTCCCTTGGCGAGACGAGACTCGAGCAAAAGGTGAAGCTCGCCTGGTACCAGAGGACGTTAGTATTCAGCTCGTTTGTAGAGTCCGAGCTTCGCACGCCGGGCCGCCATCTTGGCCGGCAACCGGGGCCTCATTGCGAAAATTGCGATGAGCTGTCCCGGAGAGGACACACATTGGCCACCAGCGCACAGAGCCTACGGATCCCCGTTGACAGCGGAGACCGAACGATTTTGTTGTGGAATGAGAGAACAGACTTGCCTTGCCCATTGCGAACGTCGGTTGATATCACCCGCACGCGAAGCCTAAGACGAAAAGGCCGCAACTCTAGGTTTCCGTGGAGACTTTGGTCTTCGACGCAAGCGCCCTCTGAGCCCTTTCGCTCCGCTGGCCTCAGTGAGGGTCTCTCCGCCGTCGAAGCCTCGCGTCTCTGGCCGCGGTCGTTGACTCCATGGCGTAACAAGGGTTTCCGAGTTGATAGACAGCCTTCGGAACCCGTAAAGATTATAAGAGGACATTATGCGATACAGGAGGGCTAAGCGCGGGGTCAGCTGACAGGGCACGGAAGTGAAAACTCGGGTCGTCCAGTGTGTTTTCATTTCCGAATATCAACTCTGCCAAGGAGCAAGCCCACCAGAGTCTGGTGGATTTCGAGAGTCTTCCTGAGGCGCTTCCCGATTCGAACTTCCGGAAGACCACAAGAGCTATTTGACTCCTCCGCGGAACGGCTCGAGATTGTCGACTTCCTTGGGATAATTCAGAAGAAATATATGAGTCCGGTTCCTTCTCATGGTAGATACGGAAACTTTTGTTGATCGATTCGAGCATCTGATCGCTCCTCTGAAAACACCCAATTTCTCCCTCCTTAGTCCTGCTCTGCTTATTGCGCCCCGCTCAGGCTGGACAATACTGCAGAGGATCGACCTGCTTCGACAATCTAGATGACTTATCAGAATTCAGCGCCAAACGTGACGTTTATTCGGACAATGTGGATAGAGTTTGCTATGCCGACGTCGGCTGTTTCAGCAAGACCGAAGGTCCACTGGCTTTCCTCCATGCTCTTCCTGACAACCCGGCGTGGATCAACCCTACGTTCACGCTGTACTCGGATAAAACGTAAGGGGAATGCTTTCGCCATAATGACACGATACGACGCTTCCGATTGGCGGTGGAAGATAGAAATCATGAGAATTTTCTGACCGCTTACTATTTTTGTGAATGATGCCCTCAGGCCGAATGGAACTGATATACACTACAAGGATCCTGCAACCTTCATGAATCTCCGATTCTTGAACCGTTCTCCCAAATGGTTGACTTTCGTCGTACATGGCTTCGGCAGTGGGCCCGGAGCCGATTGGCTTCAAGGGCTGAAAGACGCTGTTCTCGATGACGTGAGTTTCGACTGATATTTCTATGACAGCTGTATATTTTTCCCGGAACGCCCCATGTTCACGCCTGAACGTCACGATTTGTTCAGATTGGAGGCTACGTCATCGTCGTCGGCTGGTCGAAAGGCGCCGAGCTGCCGCACTACCATAGGGCTGCTGCAAACACGGATCTCATTGGGCGTATGCTGGCACGTCTGGCTCAAAGGTAATAAAGCAGCCGGACTTCATCGAATAAATTTCCCACGAGTTCCCCGTGTTACCGTCATGAGCGATGAGTCTAATCCCGGAATAATTTCAGGTTAATCATTAGCTACCCCTCCGGATTAAGCGCTTCCAGAATGCATTTCATCGGGCACAGTTTAGGCGCTCAGATGGCTCATTTCTTCTCCCTGTATCTCCACGAGATTTCTGGACTGAAACCCGCGCGGATAACAGGTGATTCCAAACTCTAATTTTTCCTAGGAAGGAATTCATGTGACGTGACGGTTCTTTCTGGCGCTCTTCCTCCTCGGTTTCGGCCTCGGCAAAGCGGCTCGCTTGGAGCATGAGTCGTATCATTGGCTGAGGGGTCCCACGGCTTTGAGCGGAGATCGATCGGGGTTTTCACGGATGTTCAGAGCGTCCTGGAAATCGTTTTTTGCTCTCGCTAAGGTTCTGAAGGTACCATAGAGACCCGAAGAACTCTTCCTCTGCTCTACACTCTGTGGCAAACCCAGCCAGTCGCTGAGCTAGGCCTCAGTGCCAAGGCGATTCTAATGTAAGCCGAGCTTCCCGTCTGAATAACTCTACGCTTCGAACCTGCGGATAGCCGAGTCATTGCACTGAGCAGAGAATCATTGTATCACTTGCTGCTTTGCATTGCTTTGCATTGCCGTTCGGCTGGGATCACTGTAAATTGATCAGCTCGAAATCCCGCGATTATCTTGAATGGATTGGCCAGCCGGGAAAGCTTTCGATATCTTCGCGGGCGGTGATTAGCTCTACGACCGTCTTTGCAGCACCAATAGCACCGGTGCACGTGACTCGAGTTGAACTTGGTGGAAGCATGGCCGAGATAGAGCCGGCCGATGGTTTCGTATGTTCCAGATCGATTTCCTTCTCCCGTGTGCGGAGCCGTCGCATCTCGTTGTGACGGACGAAGCCACATAATTCGTAATCTCCTAATCATACTCTGGACCAACCGATGCTCATGCCAGGCATCGATAACGAACAGTTTGCCATCAACTGAGTTCGTGACCTTGGCCGGAGGTCGGGTCGACTTGGGAACTCAATCGGCGAACCCGGTGCTCTCTTTATCACCGTCCCGGTCTAAATGATCGAAAACTTAGGGGTCCCTTTTTTCCGCAGCGCTCGATGCAGCCGGTCCGGAATTCGAAGCGAGTGGAGTTTTCGTGAATCGCAACGATGCAGACTTCGTTGAAGGTCTGCATACCTCTGCTGGTCGTTCTCTGATATCCGGCGAGCTCGGAATGATCGAACCTTTTGGACATGTCGATTTCTACGCAAACGGAGGGCAACGACAACCGGGCTGCTCATCATTCAGTAAGTATTATCCTTAATTGGGATCCGACGTCCGTATGAGTCGGTCGATTGATTGATTCTTCGTTTGGAGGCGATCTTCACTAAATAAAACCATTCTCTTCTGCAGATTACGGATGCAGTCATACACGGGCGCACGAGCTCTACATCGAATCGCGCAAACGTAGCGGTTGTCGATTCATCTCATACCCCTGTGCGGGTGGTGTGGCTCAATACGTGCGAAAAAAATGCATACAGGAACGAAGCCAGTGGAGCGAATTTGGCTGGAACACTCCACAGACTCCGGGTCGAGGAGTCCAATTTTTTGAGACGAATGATAGAAGTCCGTTTTGTGAAAGCCCCAAACAGATCCCGAGTCTTACGCTATCCAATACGAATTTCTGATGCATAGTCGATTCTTAAGCAAATTGTGCTCATTGTATGATCCATCTACACAATCAGAATTCATCCCCGAATAAAACTTTGTGCTATTCAGAGGAGCTTCTCAAAGAATAATCATGGAAAATCGAAGAAAGACATCCGAAGATGATTCCGAGAAATTCTGTAGAACCGTGGAACTCTTCGATGGCGCCTCATGTATCCCCGATCGAGAATACCATTGAGGAAAATTATCCGTGAGGCTCAATGATCGACCCAAACGTCGCTGTTCGGGTGCCCAAAAAGCAGTGCGTCTTCCGATCAAGGCGGATAATCTTAAGCGAAGTCGACCAAGAAGGGAGCCGAAATTAAGCGTCGATATCTTTTATTTCAAACATTAGTCACCCGAAGAGACATCTATCCTTTTACAAATATATTAATCGAGTCCCTCAGAGCCGAAACCTTCCCAACTGTGGCGAGGGAGAACGCCCGAATGTTTAATTATATTCAATCGTCACATTCGCCGTGATCACAGTGCTTTGCTCCTCGGACCTTTGATGACCCGAAGAGCCCTCTTGGCCGCTGTACACTTGGCTATTCGTTTGTTGCGTCCGATACCGATAAAGCTGCCCTTCCCGAAAACCTCAACCTTCACGCGTATTTTCCCGTTCAAGGTCAGCTCTGCTTTTTCAAACTTTGCGGTTTGAGGCTCCAATTCGAGCAGTTCTCGAATAGGAGATTTGGGCACATGTTTCGAGAAATACTCGATCTCTGGCTTCATCATGGCGAGATAGACGTTCCAAGTTGTGTCGAGCGACATGCCAGAATCCAGATAGATCGCTCCAGCGACGGATTCGAATATATCTCCGAGTGCCTTCGGCACCTCGATCTCTTCGGCTTCCTCGCATTCATCCTCTCCGAGATAGTATTTTTCGAAGTACTGCTTGCCGCTCAAGTGTTTCTTCGTGCTGACAAAGCGGTGGATTAATTTGAAGAGCCTCGGCGAAAGATTCAGGAAATATTTGTGAAACTCGTATTTGACCGCCAACGCTGCGAAGAATGTGTTGTTCACCAGCGCCGATCTCAGATCGGTCAGGGCGCCGGGGCTATGTTGTTTCACCGGATCCTCATACAGGTATCGCGTGATAAGATAATCGAGCACCGCGTCTCCGAGGAACTCCAGTCGCTGATAGCAATCGGTCAAAGTATTATAATGGTACGATGCATGCGTGAACGCTTGAAGGAGGAATCCTTTGTTTTTGAATTTATATCCGATCCTTTCCTCGAAACTGACATGGCCGTGGAGAAGTTGCCGCAAAACTCGTTCGTCGTAGCTCGCCGGCAGAGGTGGGGGAATTTTCTTGAATAAACTCGCGAACGCGTCTCCTTCGCAGTCCAAAGGCAACACCCTAAGTCCGAACCAGGTCATACACTTGAGTGTGTTGCATCGGCCGCAGGATACCAGATAGGCTCCTATCAGAGCCTCGAGACAATCCGCGATACTTTTATCCGGTATCGAGTGGTGCGTCAATAGGCTGTAAGGCACGAACTCGCCTTCACCACTGGCCTCACCGTCTTTGAACTGGCTTATGTTACAATGACTGTTTGGAATTTTCGAGTCAAGAACTGCTTTTTCCAAACCTTCCGGAATGCAGAAACCCGGAGCGAGCCAGTTGTCACTGGGCTCGAATTTGGTGGCAACCATGAGAGAGCCGATGCCCAATTCCTTCCCCAGTCGATACAGATTCACGTTGGAGATTTGTTTGCTTCTCAAGAAGCTCAATTTCCCCTCGTGTACGCCGAGATAGGTGCAATACAAGTAATTCGTGATTGCGTATTTAAGGAACGAGTCTCCCACGGTCTCGAGTCTTTCCAAATTGATTCCGTCGTTTGCGTTCGACATCGTCAGAGCCTGCAGCAGAATAGCGGGGCTCGGCCCGCAGCTCTCGCTGTCGTCGTCGTCGAATCGTATGCGGATCTCGGCCGGAAGTTCCTCCATTTCTTCACGGCCCTGCATCAGCTCACCGAAGACAACGTCGCTGCTGACGTAGTGTTCTTCGATGAGATCCTGATCTTCGGCGTCCTGCTCGGCGGCGGCCTCCATGTAGTCGAGAGCTTTTTTCAATTTGGGGAATGCGTTCATTTTCACACCCATGCGTCCTCCTTTACAGACTCGGAACTGGAGACCGAGGAGGTCGTCACACACTTCACGGACGTCCGAGTATACGCCCTCGAGTATTTTCGACTGTTGGATCGCGCTACACGGAGAGAGCCACAACGAGTTGTGCTCGACCTCTTCCTTGTCACCCCGGTCCTCGACGAGCATCTCTTCGGCATCTCGCATGTCTTCTAGGAGACTTCCCTCATCCCCGCTGTCGTCAGCATTCCCTCCTAGTTGTAGGGGCAGAGCGGCGGACAGTTTATCGATATCGATGCCCTCCCCTGAGATCCAATTGAGGCCTTGCATGCTAATGTTGACCATTTCCGAGTCGCCGAACATTTGCCAATCGCTTTCCTCCTCGAAATTCGACGGACTGCCCATCCGGAAGTTCATCTCGTCCATTCCAGGGATAGGTTTCCAATCGAATTTCGGCTTATGGAAGTCGATGTCACGTAGCTCCGCTTCCAGGAGCTCCTCGTCGTTCGGTATCGTGACTTTCGAGGGATCGAACGTGTCGATGACCAGCTGTCCGTCGGGTGTAAGCTCGACACCGCCTTTGCGCAGACCTCCGAGATAGGCGTTTCGGATTTCGGCGATACGTTCTTCGTTGACAGGCTCTTTCTCCGTTACCGGGACGCTTTGTTTGAGCATAGCGTTCTCTTTCAGCACCTCGGTCAGAGTCCAGCCGAACGTGAGCATTTTCCATTTGAAGCCCTCGGGTAGCTCGGCCTTCCCCACGCCGCAAGCGTTCACGATCCGCATGCGGATACTGTCCGCCAGAAGCAAATGATTCATCCGGTACAGAATGCAGGGCAGACAGACGACTTTCCTCCACAGAGACGCCGGGAACGGATGAATGAGACAAAGCTCCGGGACTAGGATCTGTTTCTGTTGGAGGTTCTCTCTTTTCGCTTTACGGGACTCCTCGCTGCTCGTCGGCAAACTGACTCCTTTCCGGTTGACGTACCTCGGCGTCAAGAGATTGAGACGCGCCGACGTGTGATCTACGTCGAGGAGTGGTTGGGATTTGTTGCATATGCCTATGTTGTATTTATGGCGATAATAATCGTCGAAAGTCTTGAAGGGCGTGGCGGGGAATTCACTGACAGGTGTTAGCTGCTCGCAGATGTTCGCCACGTAGAAAAATTGAGGTTTGTCGATGTTCCTGTACCAAGGCATCACGACAGCGTCGCTAAATATCTCTCGATTGAAGGTGAAGCTACGTCGTTCTTCTTCGTCGACTTTATGGGGCTTGAATTCATCCTCGTTCATTATTCTGTCGATAAACGACCACTCAACGGAACCGTCGGTGATCGGAATGATCAGGAAGCCGGCTCGGGACGCCTTTAGGTCGAATTTCATTGGGAACTTCTCTAGGCGGAGGACGTCACGGAAAACATACGCGTGGAAGAACTCTGCTTTTTTCCTTTGTTCTTCTGTCAGTGGGAGAGCGCAGCTCAGTTCTTCGACGTCGACCATGACCTCGCCCGATCGGGTGTAGATCGGGAACGGACAGAGTGGAGTCAATCTCGTGCCGGATACGAAGCCGAAGCCTCGCGGGGAATCTGCAGGGTCGTAGATGGTCCGAGCCCGCGAGTTCTGCTCCTCGGGAATCGCACAGAGCAGCTTCATTGAAATGTTGTACAAGAAAAAAGTCTCCGTATCGAGCGTTCCCTGGAATGGGGGAGCCAAACTCTTGTGGTAGTATTGACGTCGTTTCGTTGTTCCCGGTCTGGCGGCACCGTGAGCTACCGTTTCGTCGAGGGGCACAACCTGATCTTCGGTTTTCGCCTTCAGCGAGTCTTTACCGAAAGGGGAAAGGTGGTCGTCGATCTCCCCTCGCTTATGCAGACGCTCCAGAGCCCGAAGTGAGACGTCTTGTTTAGCGAGCACTGGCGTCGCCATGGGCTCGCCGACGATCTCTTCCTTCAGCGGACTGTTGATCGGCAGACGCAGAACACACTGGTACGTGTCATCGGGGAGTTTGTTGATTCGGAAAACCGGAGCAAGCTTCGTCAACGTGTCGGAGGGTAAACGAAGACAGTAGCGATTGATGATCGCGATCGAGTTGCTCAGGGTCGCCACGAGACAGTCTCCGCTCGAGGGACGGTAACAACGCTCCAGGTCCGAAGGGGAGGCTCCCTCGTCTCCTTCGGTCGTCACGTCTTCCTGGTGACTGCGCTCCAATAGAAGTCCCTCCATCTTCCGGTAGTCGCTGAACAGATGGGTGAACTTGGCAGTTTCGTACTGGGAGAGCATAATGAAGAAACGAGCGCATTTCGACGAGGCTTTCGCTTTCGCTTTGCAGACAATGTAGCTCTTGTAGCTTTCGGGTGGATCGAACCTCACCACGAGATTGCAGTGCGGCAGCTCCAGAGTATCCTCCGTGGCCGTGGTCGTGATCAGGAGGTTGTAGTCTCGATAGCGGAATTTCTGGAGAACTTCCTCCTGCCTGGTGAGGCCGGCGGCGACCAATTCCGGATCGTCGCCGTCCAGAGTTGTCTGGCCGATTATGAAGTTCGACTTGACGAATGCCAAGCTCGGCACAGTCTTCGACACCGTTTCGAGCCACCGATTCACAACTAGTGCGGTGATGCGGTGCCGGACGATGATCAGACCACACAGAGCCGTCGGGTCTTCATGCCAGGGAACGCAGTGGGGCTTCGATTTTTTCCCGTCTTCAGAAATTTGAGACGGGACCATCTTTGGTTTGGTGTACAAGAGGATGGCGTCCATCAAATTCGTCAGTTTGTCGGGATGTATGGCGTTTGCCTCGCTTGGATCACACTTCACGAGGTCCACCAATATACGGCACAGCTCAAGGAATTGTTGTAGAAATGTGAAAACGATCTGTAGGGTGGTCTTCGAGATCTGGATATCTGTCAAGTATTCTAGATTGTCGATCGATCGGGAGACTTCCCCGAGGAACTCTTGGGCGGCTTCCGCAGCACACCACGGCCCCAACGTGAGGAACACGTAGGCCAACTCCATCGGGTACCTCATGGCTTCTTGAATGACTTCGGAATAGTTCCCTTTGAGCTTGAGGGACATTTCGAGGAACTTCAGATTGTTCTCAATCAGATCGAGTACCATGTCGTACTCTACATCTTTGTCGGCGTAGAAGATTCCGTATTCGAGGACTTTCTCTTCAGGCTTCGGGCCGTACTTCGAAAGCACGGTGAGATCATTGCAGACCGTAGCCTGCGCCTTCCAATACTTCTCGAGGTTCTGGATGCGGCTCCGTGCCGTCTCGGCGCTGCCTACGCCCGAGAGGGCGTTCGTGAGCCCCACGACACGGAGTTTGCGGTCAGCGATCAATTTCAGCAGATTAGCCGATCCGGCGATATCGGTCTCTGCGTACGACTCGCATCGATCGATGAGAACTGTGCAAAACTTCAGCGAGAATTCACTCAGCGTGCTGATGGCTGTTGGCACTGTCAGGATCACCGACGAATTACTCAGTCGCTTCTCGAGACCTTCATCTTCATCCGCGTCTGGATCAAGGCACACGCAAGTCAGATCGGTGTAGTCGTCCAGCCATTGGAATGTCGAAAGCATCTCCGTGGATGACAGGCACACGACGAGCAGTTTATCGACTGAAATTCGAATAATTAGACATGAGACATCTCTTCACGTACAGAATCTGCAATCCGGGAAAATGTTGGGAACATCGTCGACGGGTTCGCGGTCGGGCCCTTCAAACTCACTAGAAGCAGATGGTGGTCGTAACCAGTACCCATTTTCTTTCGTGAAGTTGACGATGAAAAACGGCTTATCGAGGACGCTGATGAAGATCACTTTGTTCCCTCCCCGCTTAGCTTCGGCGAGCAATTCGACTTGGAACTCCGCAGGGGTGAAGTGCTTCTTCTGCGCGTTCTCCAGGAGGACATTCTGCCGAGCGCGGATCTGGGCGGGAGCCGGTTTCTTCGACGGCGGAAACTTCGGATTCCTACGGAAGTATGTACGGGCTCATGAGCGGAAAAAGCTTATCATATAAACTGATAATTCGTTCAGCGAATTCGAGGAGCTTCGTGAACCATTCCGCGCAGTTTTTTCAGTGTATGCAGAAGAACAGAAGCGAAACCCACCGCGGCATCGGAGGAAGCGCGGATAGAACGATTAGGAAGTATCACGGGGCAATAATTCTGTCGGGTCGCCGGCTTTGCGCGAGACGGTCAGCTCACATGACTCAGACAGATTCGGATCTCTGGTCAATCATCACGATTGAGTGAATGATTTTATCATAAACGAGACGCTTTCAAGTCTCAGTTTTCGAATGGGTTCCGCAGGATAGCCCATCCGTATCGTAGCGATAGCAACAATAAACACATCTTTTGCTCTCTGCGCAATGCGTTCATTGGGTCAAGTCATCTGCTCAACCTCATCTTAAGCCCTCCCGTCGGATCAGGCGATTCTCGCAGATCCCTCGACAGGAGCTGCTCAAGCGGAGTATCATCCGTGCTCGGAAAACTCTCGAGAATGATCCGTGAGGGACATTCAGAGGCATATCCGCAAGCGGCTTCCCTCGCGGAGCAGACGACGAATCCGATATCGCAATCAAATAAGGCCTGGTTGAGGTTCCTGTCTCTTTGCGATCATGAAGAGCTTCCGTCACTGTCAGGATTCGGAAGAATTCTGACCCCAGAGTGAGAGGGATTCAGTCTAGCCGGAGCCTTGGTGATTTGAGCTCTCATACTTCATCCATTCTTCCGTGTTTTCAACTTTCGCGCCCGTTCCTTAATGTCGTCTGCTAGTATGTTTACACCGCCGTTGTTTGTATCATTCCAAGTCCTTTTGCTGTCGGCCATTTCTTTGTGCGGTTGAGCGTGTCAGGTGGGTTTCTAAATCTGCGGAAATCAAGTTTAATCGGGCGAAATTCGCTCAGTTTCGGGTGTCGTTTGGCTTGAGACTCCAGTCGGAAGAGATATCAGCCCGGTTTACAGGCCCACCAAGCCATAACGGGCGTTTTGATATATAGCGGCGAAGCCCATATGCACCAAACGTGTATCGTTGAAAATTGTGATCGTCAGGAAACGTTCGTGTCCCGCAACGAAATTTCTTGTGAGCTCGCCCTTGATTCCTCCTTATTTTCATTCCAGAAAACTGACAACTAGCACGGATCCATCATGTTGATGCCCAAGAAAGACATCATTGCTATCTACGATAAGCTGTTCCAGGTTGGTACTCTAGTCAGGTTCAGCATTCGCAACTCTCGATTCTCCTCCGCGGATTGAGCGCCGTCCGACAAGGCTGGTGATATGCCGTGGAATTGACTTTGACGTGTTCGTTGTCGTGCTCCATCTCCGACCCATCTTGCGATCGTCCGGAGTTGTGGGAACTTTTGATTTTGATGGAGCCAACCCACGAGTTCGATATCTCAAATCGACCTTGGCGTCAGAACGCTCCGAAATCACAGGAGGCCCGGTGGGTTGATGAGTTTTCTAGCTCGTGGACCTACAGGTTATCCGACAAAATTTCCGGCAAACCCGTCGCCGGGTAGATATTGTCGTGCGTCGAGGAGGCGCCCCCGCTACACAAGAGCTCTCCGTTTTGGTTGATGCGTTCACTTTCCACGGATCTCTGGATCGGAACGCAATGCGCGTCCCTCGGAGCTAACCCACGAGTCCAGCGTTCCAAACTGGCCTTGGCGTCAAACCGCTCCAACAACGAAGGAGGCCCGGTGGGCTCGCCGGTTTTTTCTGCTTGCGGTCCTTCTGGCTTTCCGACAACCCTCTCCATCACAGGGTTGCCTAGCCGCGGATTCTATGCGGGAGGTATCAACTCACGTATTACTCTCCGTTTCCAGGACGGCGTCATGGTTGCGGAGAAAGATTTCCACCTGGCGTCACACCCTGAATTCGAGAACGTACCCAACCTGCACGTGATCAAGGCCTGTCAGTCGCTCAAGAGCCGCGGCTTCGTCAACGAGCAGTTCGCGTGGAGACACTACTACTGGTACTTGACGAACGAGGGCATTGAGTTCATCAGAGGATACCTCCATGTTCCGTCGGAATGCGTGCCGAACACCCTTGTCAAGAAACTGAAGAGCGAGGAAATCGGTTCTCGACGCAGCGCCGGTCCGAAAGCTCAGGAAGGCAAGGATGACCGTGAAGCTTACCGCCACGCACAATCCGACGAGAAGAAGGACGTCGGCGCCGGAGAAAGCGAGTTCCAATTCCGAGGAGGTTACGGACGAGGAAAGCCAGCTCAGTGATCATGATTTTCGCTGAGGGGCTTTTGGAATAAAATCTGTCTCTGAGGGATCTAGCGGTGTTCTTTTCCGGCATGTGAGAATCGAGGTGCATCGATATCGAGTCCCGCATGTTCTCTTGCATCGATCCGTGTACCGCAGTCGGACGAGCATCAATGAGGGAGCTTATGCGGTTGGGAGGTGCTCCTCGGGCATCGAGGCTTTGCGGGCGACAGAATGCTCGATGCGATAGCCAGAGAGACGAATTTTTCTCGGAGTCAATTGCTATTCACTGGAGGTTCATACCGAGTCTTAGCGGTATGCAGTACGTCAAATGATAGAGTCGGCAGATTTTACAAGGAATGAAAGAGTTGGCATCAAATCGAGCTCCCGGTTCGGAATTCGGTAAATCCGCCCGGGCATCGAAGAGGCAGGTTACTCCGCTGCGATCGGGAGTGTTTCCTTCGGAGTCTCCGGAGTGCGGCCTCTCTCCCGAAGGTCACGATGGTACGTAGGTATGGATTCGAAGCAGAGACCGAATAGTTGCTCAAATGCTTTTATTTCGCAAAATAATGCCTCTCGGCGAAGAACTCTCGGCCGATATCAGAGATCTTTGCGGGGCTCAGGGCATCTGTGTGGCGCGGGTGGAACATCGCCTAACCTGAGTTGGTGCGTTTCTGTCAAATGGGCTCCTCAAACTAGCGGTGACGGAATTTAAATCGTTTCACGCAGTCTCCCACGCGTCGTGAATCTTTTTCAGTCGCTCGTGGGTCCGCACAGTCACATTGAGAGGAACGAATAATTCTTGCAGTTTGTCTTTTCCAATGAACGACAGACCCGCCAGAGCGAGATACGAATGCATAGGATCGGGGCTCGCATCGCTCCACTTTCCGAAGCCGCCTGTGATGACTGATTGAGCTTGGCACACGAAGTCGCGTATCATCGCACCATCAGCGAATTGGAATGAGTCAAGAATACGGAGAGTCCCTGGGAAAAATTGGATAATCGAGATGTATTCAGGAGCAGCGTGTGAACGGGTAGATTGGACCTCTTGCTTCCCTGATCCCCACGGAACATTTCTGCGCTTCCATCCGGCGTGTTGAACTCACCTCCGACCCAGAAAGAGTAACAAGTGTCGACACGTTTGTTCGGTCTTCCATTGAAACCAGACTCCTGCCGGTTGAGACACCACCGGACCAAGTCGGCGCGATTATCTCGGATCTCTTCCAGCCGACCAAGGAGAGCCAGGGACGCAACCGCGCAGAACGAGGAGCCCCCGTGAGCTTCCGCTCCGGGGAGACATGCGACGGCTCCTTCGTACGTCAAACACGACTTGATGAAGCGTACGCAGGCATCCACGTCGATAGTCGAGAAGTCGTCGAGGATGTAACAAATAGAGACCGCACAGTACACGAGCCTGAAATGACGGCGCTGCTTGGTTCACGACTCGATCACCTCAAATCATCATCGAGAGGTCAAAGATATCCGGGCCGCTCATTGCAGTCCCGAGCTCACCTGAGATCGGTTTCACCATCGAGAAACTGTGAGTAGAAGCTCCCGTCTTCCAATTGAAGTCGTTTAATATCGTTCAATATTTGCTTCCGATGAACTCTGGATAAATCGTCTCCCAGTATCAAGAGGGAGCACAAACTCGTGTAGGTCATGCCGAGCACGGGTACGTCAAATATATGAGGCTCCTGCAAATCATCGAATAAGTAAGGAGCATTCCTCGTTCGCATGTCTCAATCGCAGGCCCATCGCGAGGACAAGTCCGGTCGAAACTCACCGTGATATTGCTATCTGCGATTGAGAATCCGCCGAGAAATCCCGCTGTGTCTGTTTCTGCATCGAGGAATTGCATCGAGTACAGCCAATCGATGAACGACGATTTTTCTTCTGGCACTTGGTCCAAGATTTCCAAACCTGAGGTCGCGAGTTCGAGTCATGATATCGTGTGCTACAACTGAGGTGGTCCGAGTGAACTCTGACTATCCGTGGGTGAGATCAGCTCCGAAACCCATTCCAAACTCACAGGTGGTTTTCTGTTATGTGAAAAAGGGTTTCTCCGCAAAGGAGGGTGCGGTCTACATATGCAATATGAGCTCACCACTCAAACAGAAGAACGCGACCAGGGGTTTTCTATCGAAGAGCTCTTCGAAGCTGCTTGGTAAGATTTTCAGACACCGGTTGAAGAATTTGACATGCCTATCTCGAACTAGCTCCATGATCAAGTTTCGACAACTTGGATCACTTGGTCAGGTGTTGACTTCAGCGGCGCGGCTCCCACGTGACGGAAATCCCGTTCAAATTCCGGACCTGCACTCGAAGATCATCGCTGATAAGGACTGCGCAGAGAGAAAAGATTCTCTAAAGAACAGAATCGAGAAGGATGACTCTTGTTTACTCACTTGTTACAGCTTGAAATTTCGGGAGAGAGACGGGGGAAAGGACCATCGCGGTGGTGCCAGTAGTAGTGATGAATCCACGGACTAGCAGACATCGACGAGAACGAGACCAGTTGAAAATTTGGCGCCACCCGTCACTCGTTTGATACCGTGGTTGCCTTGTCGTGAAAGTCTCTTGAATAATCCCAAATCATTCACAGAGTCTGTGCATTGCAATGCAGAGAGGCAATCCAGCTGATTCCATGATGCCGAGAAGATCGTGGATGTCTCTCGGAAATCGGAAGGAGCATTATTAATTTGATAGCGGTCGCGGCGAGCGGCTCGACGACATGGGACATGGATAGCCTCTATCGCTAGCCTCTAGTACAGTAAAAGCTCGTTACAACGACCCCCATTACAACGAATTTCTCGGTACAACGAACTAGAAATTTCTCCTCCTTTGGCCAGCTCGCCATAGGGATAGTGTTTAGCGGCATTCGTTACAGCGAAAACTCGGTACAACGAACCAGTTTCGTCGGTCCCTTTGTGTTCGTAGTAACGAGCTTTTACTGTATTACTTCAGCACCTCGGAAACTAGCGCGGATTCTCGAAGACGCTCGGACTGAAGCGGAGCCTTATGATCCCGAACCTCGCTAACTCAATACCGTCTGCGAAAACTCATGCGAGTCGCTCGCGAAGAAAACGCTTCGATCCTCCAACGATCCCTGAGCCAGTTCGACTGAGAGATTCATGCAGAGAGCTTCTAGGCATCGTCCTATCCCACGGCGAGCCGAGGCGGGCGACGAGGGGATTCGAGGGGCGATTCCGAACTCTCTCCAGCATGTCGAAAACTCCATAGGTAGAACATTGACAAAAACTTCGCTTCATTCCCATCATAGGCAAACTGCATGACTAATCAGCCATTCCGTAGACATTTTTTATTTTCTCCTCGCGCATGCATATGATTGGTGGAACAAAGCAATTTTTATGAACATCGAGCTCCCCCAGAAGACTACTTCTCTCTAAGAGTCCTTCTGGACTTTTATCAAAGGCACAATGCTGATTTCACCCCTCTGAGTCTGGTTAAAAGCATCTAGAAATCTCTCAATTGTCTAAATGATCCCCAACAATCAGTTCACCAAACGACTGAAGTGAATGGGATCCGACAATGCTCCTCCACATCAGAACCCGATCATCAAGTCATCGTCGAAATCGTTGTTCTCGGCTCTCACTTTGTGGAGCAATGACAGCGTGGTTTCGTCCACAGTGGAAATCCGACGTTTTCGGAAAGCTTCCATTTCGTCTCGATACCGTTGTTTATCGGCCGCGGCCAATTGTTCGAAGTGTTGACGTTGTTCGGGAGATACTTGCTTCCAGCGTTTGGCTATTTCTCTCGTTATGTCTCCTAGAGGCAACTTGAGGCCACTTTGCGACAAAAGCCGCCGCTGCTCCTTGCAGAAGTAGATATAGGCGGTCATCGCTCGTTTCGGCCGGTCTGGATCTCGCCTCGGCCGGTCCGAATTCCGCCTCGACCGTCGCTTCTTCGTCGATCCGTCACGGCAAGGTGGCTGCAATGAGAAACATGTTTGAAAAGAGTCCAACACGACATACGATCATCAGGACCGTGTACGGTGGAAGCAGCGAGCTGCGGTTGTCAAATGCGGAGCTCTCTCTATTCTGGGGGCTTGGACGTTGGTATTCCCCGGGGACTTACAGAAATCTTCGCATTACCGTGACAATGGACTGTTCGTAACACCTCGGAGCCTGTCTTACCCTCGGAGAGAAACTTTGCTTCGAGAAAAATATTTTCTCTTGCCGGTCCAGAATGAGCCATCGATCCATGCATCTCGAAGTCAAATCCTCGCGCACTTCCTCGAGCGGAACTTCTGGATTGATTCGCCGAAATTCCTCTTCAACCTCTGCGATGAAAAAATCCAAGCCATCCATCTTAGGCGACGGGGAGTCCGAATCGTGCATGTTCGTCGGCTTCGATCTAGGTCTTCTCGACGTTCACGACGTACTCTCGCGGCAACACTTTTTCCCAAGGACTTTCGTTTTCGATCGCATCACCGATTTGGCTCTGAATCATTTACGGCGTTACTTGCGAGACATCCATTGCATCGAATTCATCAGGAATCCGCGAACGTGCAAAATGTGGCGCGGCCTCGCCGTTCCCCTTATCAGCTGGAGTTTGCATTGCCGTATGTCACCGCGGTGCATTGGATGGAATGTGATGCGGACGAGCGGAAGCGGAAAAGAGCTTCCTTGCAGATAGACGACCTCATCTTCGAGGTGCTTTATTGAAGCTCCCGGGCGTTCGGGGAATCGAGCTCGGCGCGTAACAAGTGCGTATGGTCCTCTTGATTGCCAATCCTGAGCCGCATCAGTTTCCCCCGAACGAATTCTGCTCGAACGAAGGCGTTATTTTCCGGTCTTCTCTCTGTATCCCCCGGAGGTTGCACAGAAGGCGCGATCATTGATTACCGACTTGAATTCCGGAGCGTCTCGTAGCGCGAGGAAACAAACAAGGACAAGAAAAACCGTCACGGACCCCTGGTAATTGCGATCAGCTGCCGAGAAGAGTTCCCTGCACGAGGAAGCTCTCTTAACGAGGGCCACCGGAGCTGGATCACTTTTTTTCGGCAGAAAACAATCGAATTGTCGTTGCGCACCCGAGATCTCGGGAAGCTGCACCGTCGTTGGAGGAGCATTCTAAGCGATGGAACTCGACCATTCTCGACGGGCTTCCGGTTGCCTGTGCTAATGAGGGAACGAATAGCATCCGCAAACTCAACTTTATCCCAGCGGCGGAAGAAGAAAAGAGTTCTAAATGCGGAAAGCTGGGAACGCGAGCATTCATTCGGGGGCTCATAGTGCCGGCCTAGACATTTATCAGAAGACACGACCGGAAGTTTCACGCCTGCGTGTTGTGCCTTTTTCGTAAGACTCCACCCAGGAAGTAGCCGAGGCCTAGAGAGTTCCCTCTGGATGTTCGTCGCATTAGAAATGGAGGATGAGAGGGTAGAAGAATTAACGATAACTCTTGTCCTCTGAGACTTGCAAACTGGATCCGGTTCAAAAAGTTCTGCGATCGAATCGAGTGCTGATTCTACAGAAGCTATCAATTCAAGATATTCAGCGATACGATGCGGGTCCGAGGAAAAAAAAACGAAATACGGAAAGCTTCTCACGAGAAGAGCTCTGGGTTCCGGAAGTCTCCAGAATCGCTAGGGTCAATCCTCGGAATCCGGAATTTCAAGGGTTCAGACATATTTCATACTATGCTCTAGAGTGGAGCAAGGGGGCACAAAGTGGGGCCCGCGGGCCGCATGCGGCTCGTGGCCCTTTTTCTGCGGCCCGCGGCGCTTATCCCAGCATCGGTGCCGACCGGATCAATATTGCGTCGTGAGCCGGAAATAGATGAAATCGTGCGCGGAAAGCGTAAATGACCAGATCTTCCCCATTCCAGTATAGCGAGAACCAGAAGTAGAGAATAGAAACTGCTCCAAGGTCTACAGAGGAGAGATTTTCGTCCGGAGTCGCGCAAATCGAGGATGGTTGCGGCCCGCCGAACGTTCTAGGCCTTGGGTAATGGCCCACGAGACCTCCGAAGCTGTGCAACCCTGCTCTAGAGTGTATTTTCCACAGTTAACGTCTACGACGTCTGAATTTTCCCTCAGCCATTTCAGCCTGTTGTTGGCTAGGACATCCGCTCAGCGGAATTCTCGCGAGTCTAGTTGCTCCCCCGGTAGTGTTCCGCGGCTTTTTCGATATTACTCCATGGATGGTAAGCTCTGAACGTGGCGGTAAGTACGCCTTACTTAGAGCCACTGCGATCTCGCGGTACACTTACTTAGCGTCCCCGCGCTTTATGGGAGCCGTCACTCGTAAGTCGAGCCGCGATGAGAAGGGTCTCCGGCGGCCATCTCCTCGGCGGGATCCTTTATGAAATATGTAGCGGCATCGGTCAGCTCGGCGGCCCTTCACGTTGCTTAAAAACGGGTTATACGCGTCAGAAAACCACTCGAGCGGCTTCCCGGCCGGCTCGCGGAGCACGCTTCTAGGGTTTGCTATTAGAGCTCGCGAGTTCCACAGAATAATCTTGAGATAAGTTGCTCGGCTCCGAGCTAAAACCCACAAGAAATAGATTCTGGACTTGAATCCTTCTATATGTTGGGAATCTCCCGGCCATAAAAATCGATGATTCCGTTCCACTCCCCGGGCCCGAGATCCACACTCGAAACCCGAGCTCCCCCAATACAGGAGCGAGAGGCCCCAAGTCGTGAGAGACATCATCGAGTCGTCCCCAAAGCCGCCCGTGTCCCGAATTCCCCTTCTCGACCTCGGAGCTCCGGACTCCGGATCGCTGCCGACCTCCCTCTGGAAAACAGACTTCGTGACGTCATCTCGGTGGAAGCGTGGGATTATGATACTGAGCTGTCGTTTTCGCGGACATGCGGGGGGGATATGGAAGACTTGCGTCGCTTACTGCCTTCTTTCGAGACTCCCGACGTCGACGGCAATAGTTTTTCCCTGAGTTCATCCGCTCATCCGTCGATCCACTCCTTCGAATTCCACACGTACAGACCAACTAGGAATTCAGCGAGCAGAAATGGCGGACGAGAGAAGACTCTGTGTGATCTCCTGATGAGACAGCGATCCGCCGATCGTGTGCAGTCGCGAAGGATGTCGACGTCGCGTCGTCGGTCGCCATCAGCAAATCGTCTTCCCTGGCTATGATGGTTTGTCGAATGATGATCACGTTCGCTGGGATCTCGCGCCACAAACCTTCGCAAACGAAACTCGCTCTCGTGGAAGAAGCCCGAACATCGATGATGTATTCATGATTTTTGCGCTCTCACGAGCGGCATTTCCTCCGGAATCATCGAGAGGACCTCCGCAAGCCGACGTATCCCAGCAAGTCACGGCTATCGAGCATGAAAAGCAGGCACCGAATGCGGATGGCGTTTCCGCGGGAATAATCCGGCTCCCCGATGTTCGGTTCAAAACCGAACGTTATGCGAGTGGCAGCGGCTTGACAGCCTGCCAGAGATTTGTTTGTTTCCGCCGTCAGCTGATGAACGAAATGAGCATTCAATATCGAATTCATGAAGGCAGAAACTCAAAGAGCGAAAGCTATTTCTTCCATCGGGTATGCCTACGTATTATCAGCGAGCGACGTGGCGTAATTACCTAATGAGTGCTCGGGAACTCACCGTATATTTCAAACGCGGCATTAGCCATCCCCAGGGGGGAACGTTCGAGGCCACAAGCGACCGTACCGACTCGTTTCTGGCGGATATATCCCGGGATAATATTCATGTCGTCCGCCGTCACCGTCCCTGTCGAATGGTAGGCGGAAGTCTGCCTGCCGCATTCTGAAGTTTGTTCCTCACGCATTCATGGTCGAGAAACTACCTACTCCGAGCGGGAGAGACTTCTGGAGCGAATTATGATAATTAAAGCTATTAGCACGCACGCCGGGGAGGCTCCTGCCCGCAGCGGATTGATAAGTCCCATTCATCCGCAGAAGTCATCTTCGACTTATTTCTGACGTGCATGGCGCTCAGTGATGTCAAGCCGCGGTGATCGAGTCCGCGGTCGTCGGACTTCTTGAATTCGAGAACAACGCCCGGATCTTCTATGGGGAGAGCTTCCCGGACTCGGAATCTGATCGGCACAGGTCGCCGATCAGGGCGCTATGACGAAATCTCCGGAGAGCTTCTATCGTCCACGAACGAGCGTGGTGAAAAGGATGGTGAATTGGATTTTTATTTTTGGGAAAGCATTTCTGAATGAAGTCTCTCGCAGCGCGCGAATGCTCTCAAAGCCTGTAATGAGAACATCTGCTCCGGTGCTTCCAGTCGAGCTTGTGCGCATAAACCCTTATATTGGATATTCCTTACCAAAGAGAAAAAGTTCGGACCTCTCCAACGGATTTAGTTGAGCTCCTATGAGCGAGAACGGTTCGAGAGAGGATGAAATTTTCAGCGGACGACGTTTCCCCAGTGACGAATGAAATCCTCCCGACTACCGAAGATCAAGAATCGCGACTTCGGTCGCTTCCCGACTTCCTGCCCGCAAACGTATCTGATCGCGAGACTCAGCGGTCGGCTCGAGCAATCCCGTCACGTCCAGGTTCCGTGAGCGTACCCGCTCTACTCGTCGTAATATTTTCGCAATCTACAATATATCTCGATCACTCCGTCCAGCTGGCGTAGACTACCCCTGATGGTCTACAGAGATGCCGAACCCCATCATATCACACGTACAACTAGACGATTCTCTTGCGAGCCCGATGAGATTCGCTCGCGCTTTACAAGATCCCTTCCTTCACTGACATCGCGCTGCGGCCACGCCCAGCAGTCGTTCAAAGCGTCGATAAATGACGGGCTGGAGGACGGGGCTCACAGCGGTGACCAGATTAAGTAATGGTGACCGTTCGCAGTCCGAATGGTCTTGTGCGCAGTTCGCGCTCGACTTTTGTGTGACTGAGCGTCGTTCGGAAAAGATTCTCCATCTCGTCACCGGATCCGATCGACAGTAAAATGTCCAATCGACACTGAATAACGAACAAGGTCGAAAGGCGGCCTCGAAAGATTTTCGCTCGCCGACCCTTCCGGCAGTCAGCGCTACCGTTCTGAGAAAAATCGGAGTATCGATATATGACTTCGGCGAGCCAACATGTCGACTGTTTGCCGTCCGCTGGGTAACTCTCGTTATCACCCCCGTTATCATACTCTGATCCCTGGTCCTTATGCTTCCAGACCTGCGTGTATCTTGCTGACGCAGACGTCGGAAGTAGACGATGGGCGGCTCGTTAGGAGAGCTCTATGTTCGTCGACGACCGACCCGGTTCTGTGGTGGGCATGGTCAGCTCACGAATGCATCGCGTCAAGCGTCCGAGAAGAGGAGTCTCGGATACTTCGCTCTGTGATCATGACGAGTCGGATGGGCAAGGTCTCCTTATTTGGGCTAGGCTTCGTAACCAGAAATCGTTCTGCGTCGTGTCGACTCGTGCTCTCGAACGAGATTGTGAAACTACGACCATCCATGCGGCGAGCATGGAATGATGGCGGAG